TCATCTATATTGTTGAAGATAGTGTTTTGAAAATTGACCGGACCCGTGGTTGAACCGCTAAAACTCTGTGATCTGATATATAATCCGTTTTGGGTCTTAGAAAAAAAACTGACCTGGACCCGTGATTAAACCACTAAACTCGGTGATCCGATATATAATCTGCTTTGAGTCTTAGAAAAAAGAAACTGTTATTTTGAAAATCTAGTAACAACTGGAAAAACCTAATAAAACCTGGAATCCGGCTATCGGTTGAACCAGTAACTAATTTTTACTTATATTTTTTTTTAATTTTTTAATTATGTAATTAAGATTGAATTTTCTTATTTTTTTTGTCTTATACAACACTAATAAACTATTTTATTTGTTATTTTTCGATTTTGATAAAGATATCACTATGCCACTTGAAGAAAATAAAGTGGATGGTGATAGAAAGAGCCTAGTTAATATGATTTGGTATTAGTGTATTTTTCTTATCAACAGTCTATTACAATTTGATGTTTTATTTGATGTTTTATTTTGTTTATTTGAGTTTAAGATTTAATTTTAATTATTCACATTAGATATTTATATAGTTATGAACTTTAAAGCTAATGACATTTTTTACTATATGTCATAACTCTTAACTTATTAAAAATTGTATAAATTATGTTTTGATATTTTATAAGTCAATAAAATAAAAAAAAACTTAAGTTAATTATTCCTTATTTTTCAAAATTAAAATATCTATTATATTTTCAGTAGCTAGTATATTATTATATAACAAAAATAATTAATTTTTTAACTTTCGTCTTGAGTCAGTCCAATAACCTTAATAACCTTATGATCCAATAATTTGTTTTGTCTCTAGGTTGAGTTTCAAAATACTAGTTTCAGAACTATACAGGAAAATGTCTATAAATTAATAGTTTTTATAAATTAATAAATTGTGTCGGTTCCAGAGAAACGACAGCATCTGCAATGGAGACGCTGATGAAAGCTATTACCGACGCCAGAGAATGGCAAGATGCGCAGACAACTCAACCGACGGAAAAAGACAGCATCTGCAACAGGAGCACCAACACCTGAACCATGGAGACACAGTTACCAAACACAAAAATGCAGCTTGGAGGAAGGAAACTTACATCGCTGAGTTAGCCTGGACGTGCTCCAATGAAGCAGGTTCCGTCAACCTCCAAGGTAGTTCCTCAGAAGACTGCGTTAATTCATCTGTAATGGCGGAAGGATTACCTATACGAGAAGCCCTTCTGCAAATGCAAGCACATGGCACTCCAATATTATTCTCAAGTCAGACGCTCAGATCATCATCCGAACCATCAATAAACGAGAATCTCTCAAGGAAATTTGTGGTATCCTGCAGGATATCTTCAGCTTATCTTGTGATCTCGATGTAATCTCCTTTATCTTTATTCCTCGCACTGAAAACAGCACAGCTGATGCACTGGCCAAGAGTGCTCTGCTAAACTGCTCTCTGTAGACTCTTCTTTATAATTAATGCATTTGCTGTTCAAAAAAAAAAAAAATTGTGTCGGTTCCAACTTGGACTGGTTCAAAATTTGACACAAATCGATAAAATAATAAGATAATAATTTTCTAAAAAAATCTATGTAAATATGTGGTTTCATTAAAATTATAAATTAATAATTTACATGTATACAATATTTTATATAAGTACAAACTTACATTATATTGTTTGTTTATATTCACAATTAAATTATCTTTATATTTTGTTAACACTTCATATTTTTGATGACATTTAGTAATATTATATTTAAAATCACCTTTAGTTTCTATGAATATATATTATATATACCAAATAATATAATAAAATTATTATAAATATAAAATTTCAAAAATTAATAATTAATGTCTATACGCTGAAATCAAATATTTTTCTTATCTTAGAATAAATATATCTTAAAATAAAAACTAAATAAAGAAATATTTGCAAATATCTCTATAAATTAATTAAATTTCAAAATCTCAACATTGTAATTTAGAGAGGTTTTACTGTATAGTATATAGAAAAACTATTGTAATAGTTTGAAATAGATAAAAAGGATGATCGCAATATATTGTAGATTGACATATTAGTAACTATAGTTAAAGATTATGAATGAAGTAATATTGTAAAAAGTGAAATGATATATATTTTTTTTTAATTATGGATTTCTGCGTGTGTACGAGTGTCAATTTTTTTTTTCTTTTGCACAAGTACGAGTGTCAATTTCTTTTCATCTTTTCCTTGTAAGCATTATAGATATCACAATCTTCAGGAGACCCATGAAAACTTCTGACAGTAATGAGATGTGTAACAAACAAAATAGAACACCACTCTGTACTTCACAATAGGTATGTGGATTTTGCCCGAACCAAACCAGTCAAACTGAACCAAAATTTTCGATTTTGGTTTGGTTATGCTTTTGAATTTGTTCAGTTACATATGATCTTGAAAATAATTCGATTTTTGGTTTGATTTGCATTTAAAAAATATAACTGATATAATGAAACTAATGGAAATATCTAAAATAATTAAAATAATCAAAAATAATTAAATGTAACTGAAACTATTAAAGGTTTTATGTTTTAAAAAATAATATCGAAATCACAAAAATTGGTTATTTTGAGAAAGAATATAAAACATAAATTAACCGAAAAAACCAGTTTACTTTTGGTCATTTCGGTGGAGATTGTAGCCAATGAACCAAGATAACCAAAACCACATTTCAAACATAAAAAATAGGATATTTTTCTCCATGAACCAATATAAACGAGATATAAAACGACGAAATTGTTTTGCAATTAATTCTATAAATAAACATTTTATACCTCAAATAGTAAAAAGAAAAGTTTGGATACCATCTACGACCTACCTCTATATTCATCTCTATATTTTTTCTAAAATAGCGAATTTATGTTATAAAGATAAATTGATTTGTTCCAATACCTACTCTATAATAGAATTCATCCATTTATAGGAAAAAATATTGAGATATACAATTTTCACTTCTGAATATAAACATAAAGTAAGATTTCTCTATTATCTAAAAACAATTATCATAGATATATACATTTTGGAACAAATCTACCTTGGATAGAGATCTCAATTTTAGTAAAAATGTAAGTCTTTAACATTTTCCAAAAATTAAAGTAAAGCAAAATAATCTACTGAATTTTGGCCTCACATTGTCTCATCCTCTTAATTTTTTTTTGAAACATCTCATCCTCTTAATAAATCTAGAATTAATGAAAGTATCTAATGATTACAAAGATCAGTAAAACATTGATCACTGACAGCGTCACCCATTTGGGAGTCTTACACCGGCATATATCGAAGCACAATAAATACACAAACTTTTTAACGACAAAATAAAACCTGCCCAAAACAAAATAACATTCTACACCTCCCCGAAACAAAATAAAACCGTTTTGTTATTAACGACACCAAAATAGGACAACTGTTCTGAACAATGAACATAGAATCAACAAAAAAAAACTAAAAGATATCAATTGCATTGATATGTAGCAATTGTTGTCTCACGTTAATATCATCCTCTCTATAGATCCGTGGACTTGAAACAACATCAATCTCTGAAACACCTTTGACCACTTAATTAATAGTTACACTTTACACCCATATTGATCGAAAGTTGTGGAGGTTTCCCAGTATGACATAATAACTTTCGGTAGCAAAATTGCAAAGTAAATTACATGATTACGAAATGAAAAGCCATAGGTACATAATGTACGAGGCATTTCCAGGATCAAAAGGCATTGAGAAAAGCAAGATGATCAGGACATACCACAATACTAATATTGCGTCACAAGCCATTATACCTGAAGAAACTGTGTTTATCCTTCAGAATTGGTAATCGACGTACAGAAAACAAACTAAAACTCTTAAATGTGATATGATCAGTGGAAGGAGAAGTTGTTTAACAAAGCCTTTACAGAATTTGTGATCGTCCACTGCTCGTACTACACTCTTCCTACTTTTATCTCATCTCAGCATAAAAATACATAACAATCCAACAAAAAAAAGAACAAAAACTGAATATGAAAAGCCTCAGTGTGTGTAACAAATTCAGATCATTGATCAATAGAACCTCACTGAAATCCGCTAAGATATTTGCTCATATCATCATAAGCTTTTTCTATAAGCCATCTAAAATCAACCAAAGAACAAGAACAGTTTAACCAAAAAACCACAAAATTGTTATAAAAAGCTTCAGTGTGTGTAACAAATTCAGATCATTGATTAATTAACCTAACTGAAATCCGCTAAGATATTTGTTTTATCATCATAAGCTTAAATATAAGCTATCTAAAGCGAAACCAAGTACATAAAAATCTAAACATAGCAAAATATAGACTATCTGAAACTAAAACAAGAACAGCAAATCAAGCAAAAACTAACAATATAATTATAAAGATTGTTTCTTCAAATCAATAAAAAGATTAGATTTTATTATATAGTTTGTGTGAAAATGAATACTCAGACAGCCAAGGGTTACTCTTCAACTTCTGGGTGAAGTGCCCAGATCTGAAACTCTAGTCCACAACATATTGTATCATCACCATATACCCTTTCACAAAAACCTAAACTTACCAAAGGAAAAACTCATAGAGATACAAGAAGAAAGAAAGCTCATATGACTTACAGAAGACAAAAAAGCATATAAATACACAAACACACATAAACGAATTGAGAAGTAGGGCTCACCTCGGCGCGGCTGTAATTTAACTTTTCTTTTTTTAGGCCCATTTAGTTTCACTGAGCCCATCTTACGCACACCCATTTAATAACTGTATAAACACACAGACTTTCCTTTACCATTTCTGGCTAAACCAGTCAACACTACAAAGACAAAACCCAGAAAGATAAATAAAAGAAAATCGAGCTTGTGTTCGTACCTGCGGCGGAAATTGGTCATCTTCGTTCAACCGTCGAGTTAGCTAAGAAACTCCTCAACGAAGATGATCGTCTTTCAATCACCGTACTCATGATTCCTCGCCCTTCCGTCGATGATTCCGATCATGTTACATCCCTTGTCACACCGTATCAAGAACGCCTCCGTTACGTTACCATCTCCGTCGCAGATCAACCACCCGACGTTCATCTCGATACGCAAGCCTACATGGACAACCAAAAGCCCAAACTGAGAGACGCAGTCTCCAGAATCCTCGATCCAACAAGAGCCGACTCGCTGACGCGGCTCGCCGGATTCGTTGTCGACATGTTCTGTACATCAATGATAGAAGTAGCTGACGAATTCAAACTTCCAACTTATATGATGTACACGTCGAACGCTGCGTTTCTCGGAATCACGCTTCATCTCCAGTTGATGTTCGACGAGAAGAAGTATGACGTCAGCGAGTTGGATGACTCAGTCAACGAGTTGGAGTTTCCGTGTTTGACTCGTCCTTACCTGTTAAATTTCTTTGACTCAGTCAACCGCATCAGCAATCCGCATGGGCACGGATTCCAAGGTAAGTATTTTCTTTTTTTCTTTTTTTTTTACTTCCAAAAAAAAAAAAAAATTAATAATCTAACTAATCGCGAGCCGCCACGTGGCGTGGGGCCCGCGGAATAGTGATAAACTTCATCACCTCTTAATGACGACCCGAGTTCGTTGAAAAAGAGGGATCCACGAAATTAAAAAATATTTTTTATTGGATTCCGTGCGATAAACCGCTGATGCGGATGGTCTTATCTCTTCACCTCAAAGCAGTGGCTACCCTTCTTTCTTGAACGAGCAAGAAACTTCCAGAAGTTGAAAGGTATTTTACCGTTGCGGAGCTGGAGCCTCAGTCTTTGAATATATTCTCTGGTGACCTTTCTCAAGTGTATCCAGTGGGACCTCTGTTACACCTCCATAACGACGACGTCGAAGGGAAGGAATCGGAGATTTTACAGTGGCTCGACGAGCAACCGGAGAGATCGGTTGTGTTCCTCTGTTTCGGGAGCATGGGAGGTTTCAACGACAAACAAACGAGAGAGATAGCAGTCGTGTTAGAACGAAGCGGTCACCGGTTTCTCTGGTCTCTCCACCGAGGATCACCGAATATAATGACGGAGCCTCCCGGAGATTACAAGAATTTGGAGGAAGTTTTACCCGAGGGATTCTTCGATCGGACGTCGGAGAGAGGGAAGGTGATCGGATGGGCCCCAAAAGTGGCGGTGCTAACTAAGCCGGCGATCGGGAGCTTCGTGACTCACTGTGGATCAAACTCGATGCTTGAGAGCTTGTGGTTTGGCGTTCTGATGGTGACGTGGCCGCTCTATGCGGAGCAGAAGATAAGCGTGTTCGAGATGGTGGACGAGCTTGGAATGGTGGTGGAGATACGGAGGTTTTTTAGAGGAGATTTGTTGGCTGGAGACATGGAGACGTTTACGGTGAAGGATATAGAGAGAGCGATCAGGCGCGTGATTGAGCAGAATAGTGACGTCAGGAACATGGTGAAGGAGATGGCTAAGTGCCGCGTGGCGTTACAGGACGGCTTTGTGGAAGTTTATACGAGACGTGGTCGAAAATGCTGTGGCCTAATTGGATGGAATCATGTGGAGTCAAAGTTGAAAGGAATCTCCCTATACATTAAAAGAGAAGTCACTTTAGTGATTTCTCAATAGGTGGCACTCATAGAGAACTTTTAGAATTAATTCTTTTAATTTTATTGGTTGATTCTTTGGTAATCTTTTTTTCTTTTTTTTTTATTATCGTCCAAGAGTTATTTGGGAACAACTTTGATTACGTTTCCAAACACTCCAAGGCAATATACGTTTATTTCTTTTCTCGATTGGAAGAACCAAAAGCTGCGATTTTCAAGGTTTCCCTTTGATCCTTGGAGTTCGAATTAGGGTCATCTTCTTGATGATGATTCGAAGGCTGAGCAGAACCAGATGAGTTCGACATATCCAGATTAGTTCTCGGAGTCATTGAATAAAGGTGGATCGAGCTCAGCAAATCGATAGAAGAAGCTTCCACGAGAACAGAATGAACCATTGATATAGAGTACTGCTTCCTCGACAAGTTTGCCAATGTTTTCTTCTTTCTCTCTGGTGGATCAAGTTTCGCTCACTGTTTCGATAACTGCTTTCTCGAGTACTGATTGCTGATTTCAGTTAGGGCTAGGCCAGAAGGGTTACGAATCAATTTGTATCCTGTCTGCTATTGGGATTAATCTCATATGGGAAACATTACCAATCAATTGTTTTTATGGTATGTTTTCTGAAAGAGAACTCCGTCGATAGTTTTTTATGTATTTGTTTGTGAGTTTTCAAACTTGTTTTCAGTTTGTTTCGTGGTATGTACCTGATTACTAAAATTACATGTTTCTTTACTACTATTATGTTAGTGATGTTTTATATTACCGTCCTCGCCTTTTTAGTTGATCATAGACCATTTTTTGATCTTGTGGCAGCTTCAATATGCAAGGAGAAGAACGCATGTAACTTAACGATCACAGAGAATCAGGTCAGAATAAGTACTAGACTACATTATTAAGATCAACTAAAATGAGTGTTAATTTTTTTTTTCCTCCTGCTGTCTCGCCTTTCTAAAGCCTTGGAGTATGCAGACATAATTGGTCTGGTCGAGAAAGAATTGGTCTGATATTGCAATATCATGACAGGGAGAAGTCGAGAAAGAAATACGGTCTGGTCTGTATTGTTATCCAGTTTCAGAGCTGGACCTCTTTAAGGTATATTCTTTCCTCCACAAACGCTTGATCGTTTCTTGATTAGTGTCAAATAAGTACGAGTCTGAAGCTGAAGATATACCCAATGACTTCTCCTACATAGTTGTTAGACCAATTTGAAACTTGCAGTTATCTTGGGCCAATGTTCGACAAGAGTTAAACCGAAAGATTAATTTCATAGCCTACTTAAAAAAGCTCAAACTGGTGTAGTCAATTTTAAAGATAAGAACATATAAGTGTAAATAGGATTACTTGCGCAAGTTGCAAAGTAACTTGTCGCTAGAAATCGTGTAATCAATTGTTTACACCCTTGGTCACATTACTTGCACAAGTAGCAAAGAGATATGAGAATCGTATATTGTAAGTTACCTTATATATTTTATACTTTAAATGCTAATTGCAGGATGAATAAAATCAACTTTTAAATTATTATCATATTTATTGATTTTTTTAATAAAAATTGCAATCAATTTAAATTCAAAGACAAAAGAGGTCACGAAAGAAAAAGATTTACATATAATTTCAGGTGAAGAGAAGGTTTACCTTAACTCGGATAGTATTATCCCATCTGATGTTGACATAGAAGAAAATGTAGTATATCCTGCAAAGTTTTTGAACAGTGTTAAAGTGCCTGGACTGCCTAGACATTGTTTGAAGCTCAAGGTGGGTGCTCCTATTATGTGTCTTCGTAACATGGATGTTGCAGATGGCTTATGTAATGGTACTAGGCTAATTGTTACTCAGTTACTGCCCCATGTAATAGAAGGTAGAATTATAACCGGAAACAATATTGCTGGAGACAAGGTTTGGATCTCTAGAATGTTTGTCACACCACCTGGCACAAAATTTCCCTTCAGAATGTGCGAAGACAGTTTCCAGTTGCATTGGCATTCGCGATGACCATCAACAAAAATCAAGGTCAAACACTGGAAAGTGTTGGTTTGTTCCTGCCTAGGCCAGTATTCTCTCATGGTCAGCTCTACGTTGCACTTTCAAGAGTTAAGTCGAGATCGGGATTAAAAATCCTAATAACTGGTAAAGAATCGAAGCCGCAGACGAAAAAATTGAATGTAGTCTACAAACAAGTTTTTCAAAAATATTTTGTAATCAGGGTACGTAATTTTAATATACTTTTTCAAATAATTTTTTTTTTAATATATAAACTGTTACAATTATTTTTTTTACAGGGAATTGCAAGATGGGTAGTGATGAGTTACCAGACCGATTTTATTTGATTACCATCCAGTTTTCTGCCTATTTCTATGACGGTATGTCATTTAATATTATTTTCTGTTCATAAAATTTAGAAATAATTTTATATCTATCAAATAATGTTATTCAGTCCAATAGCTTACAAAACCTAATATATTTTTTGCAGGTGTCTAATGGATTTGTTTTTTTATCGAGAATTTGTATTTCATAAATTTATATTATTTATGGATTATAATTTTAATTTTATTTATGGATAATATTTATGGATAATGTTTTGAAATTTATTATATTTTCTTTTAATATGTCAACATAAATTTGACGAAAAAATTAAACATAATAATATTATTCACCCAAAATTAAAAACTACAACACATATACAATGCAATTCTAATTATAAAGGATAATATAAAATGTGTTACTTCTAAAACTATACACTATTTAGAAGTGGGATTTTGAATGAAAGTATCTTCTTAAACACACTAATTATTTTGGGACTTTGCAATTATACATACACACAGTAACTGTCTCTTGATACTGGAGTTATTTTGTACCATCTTCTCCAATGTCAAATATTGAGTACCATTTTTTTTTCATGGCTACAGCTTTCTCCAAATGATGGTAGTATAATAATGTACAATTCGTTACTTCTAAAGCTATATCCTATTATAATATTTTTTTTTGAATTTTTTTATGGCCGCACATGGTGTAAGCCGGTCACCTAGTCATAGTTTATATACCGTTCCCTATACCACATATGTGACACGTGACTGGAAGGTACTGTGCCTTCGCGCTCTTAATTAAGGGACGCCACTTGACTTAATCACATTTTTCATTTAATTTTAATACCCATTTATGTTAAAAGATCTTTTTAAGGGACACCATCAAACATGCTATAAGTATGTTACATTTCCTGAATAACGTTTTGATGTGTAAATGTACCGTTACGAAGTAATAATAATAAAATAAAAAATGTAACCTTAAAAATAATAATTATCAAAATTGTATTATAGTAGTGACTGTTGTGTTTCAAAACTGGATAAAATTCTGCTGTGGCCCTAAAGGCCATGCAAAAATCTATTAGGAGGTGTTATTGGTTTGTATCTTTTAATGGATTTATAAATTCAAGTTAAATCTAATGTTATTGGTTCTATCATTTTAAAATTCAATTTCAAATATGTTGTTTTTGGTTTTATGATTTTAAAATAGATTTTAGAATCAGGTGTTATTCAATATTAAGGATTTGTTTATAGATTTGATTTGGATTTGAATGGATTTATAAATATTCTAAAGAGTAAAATAGAAATGAACAAATATTGGGTTGAACCCTGTTATTTTGATTGGATTTGTGTTAATAAAAATTGGTTGATATATTGATTCACATGTTTTAGGAATCTTCCTCACCAGAGACTCACAGCCTTGTGACTTTTGTCCGCCGGAGGTTTCGTTGGCCGGAGTGTTTTGACTTCTCACCGTACCGACATGATTCGGATGTAAAGCGTGTTTACTTTTTTCAGTTAATTTTGAATAGTTTCTCGAGCTGTTGTTTCTTGTGAAGACTGGAGCGGATATTATTGTCACTTCTTCCACTTTTAAATTGACATTAACCGTACTATTACGTTAAGCTTCTTGAGAGTGAGACAGTGGCAGCAACAAAATAAGAGGTGGTGGAGTTCGCGTATCGAAGTCTCCAGACTACACTAAATTAATTTCAATAGAGTAAAAAAAACAATAATTTCATACAAACATATTGAGCTAGTTATCATATTATTATGATTCATATAACAGAAGCAATCACAAATTAAGAAGAAACACCATCAAATCAAACAAGAAAATTGGATTTTATCAAACTTAGCAATATGGTTGTGGTTGTTTTGATAGGTTTGAGCTTTTTTTTTAATCAAATTTAACATTATCAAACATGAAACCAGAATTTCCTGGACTACAAGAGAAATATATCTATAGCATACTGACGATGCATTTTTTGCCGTATTATTAATTGGTGCTGTTAATTTTCTGTGAGTATATGTTTGAAGAAGCAATAATGAAAACTTCAAATCCATTTATTTGATAATCCACTTATTTTCCATTTGAAATCCATATCATTGGTTCTAAAATCTTTATTTTCTTGATTTTAAAATCACGTGATTTGTCAAAGATTTATATATCCATATATTTTTCTAAATCCATGAAAATAGTAAAACCAATAACTCCTACTTAGGCTTACGTTTGAAATGTTTTTTTTATGGAAAAAGGTGTAAAAACCCCCAAAAACCTAAAACTTAAAAATAATTATTAATATTTCAAATTTTATTTTTATTTTTATATATTTATACAACATAATTTGAAGGTTAAGATTATAAAGAAACATCAAGATATAATTTTATTTTATTTTATTCTCAATGTTTTTTTTTTCTAATATGAGTGGTCATAGATAACACATTTTGTCGATATAATCTTTTTCCTTTGGGTCATTCGGGCCGTGATTAATATTTTTTTTTCTATTTTCAGATCATTTTCGTTTGTGAATTCGAACCCATTTAAATGTTTTATTTATATAAACAAAAATAAACCAACATTAAACACATGATTAAACACGTGATAATATTACCACTTCTCAATATATTTTAACTTTCATAAAATATCTTACTATTTTATTGAAACACGTAAATATTGATTCAAAGCTTAATATAGTAGTTTATTTACAAATTAAAAGTGTATATA